ATAATGTGGAAATCATCAACCAATATCATTAATATCACATGCAAGTGAAATTTTGCTGAAGATAATTAAAAAATGGTTGCAAAAGTATATTGAAAGGGAACTACCAGAAATTCAAGCCAGATTTAGAAGAGGATGTGGAATTAAAGATATCATTGCTGACATCAGATATATCTTAACTGAAAGCAGAGAATACCAGAAAAATGTTTACTGTGTTTTATTGACTATACAAACCTTTCCACTGTGTAGATCATGACAAACTATGAATAACATTGCATAGAATGGCTATTCCAGAACACTTAATTGTACTAATGAGGAACCTGTATATAGACCTAGAGGTAGTTGTTGAAACAGAACAAGAGGATACTGAATGGATTAAAATCAGGAAAGGTGCGTGTTAGAGTTGTATCCTTTCACAATATTTGGTCAGTCTCTATGCTGGACAAATAATCTGAGAAATTGTATTATATTAAGAAGAACATGGCATCAGGATTGGAGGAAGACTCATTAATAACCTGTGATATGAATATGATACAACCTTGCTTGCTGAAAGCAAAGAGAACTTAATTCTTACTGATGAAGATCAGTCTTCGGTATGGATTGCACCTCAATGTCAATAAAACAAAAATCCTTGCCACTAGACCAATAAATAACATCATGATGAATGGAGAAAAATTGAAGTTGTCAAAGACTTTGTTTTGCTTGGGTGTGCAATCAGTACTCCTTAAAGTAGCTGCCAGAAAAGCAAACGATGTATTATATTAGGCAAATCTACTGCATAAGACTTCTTTAGAGTGTGTAAGAACATAGATATCAGTTTCAAAACCAGGGTGTGTTTGATCCAAACTAAACTGTGGTGTTTTTAAATGCCTCATATGCATGTGAAAGTTGGCAGACCTTAGAAGAATCAGTGCTTTTGAATTATGGTATTAGGGAAGAGTATTACAAGTACCATGATCTGTCAGAAGAACAAACAAATCTGTGTTGGAAGAAGCACAACCAAAATGTTCCTTGGGAACCAAGATGGGGAAACTTCATCTTTCATTCTTTGGACATGTTAACAGGAGACACCAGACCCAGGGGAAAAAACATCATTTTTGGCTAGGTGGAAGGTCAACAAAAAAGAGGAAGACCCCCCCAAAGAGATGGATTAACACAGTAGCAGCAGCAATGGGCTTAAACGTAACAGTTATGAAGATAGTGCAGGATCAAGCAGTATTTAGTTATGTTATTCATAATGTTGCTATGAGTCATAACTGACTTGACAACACCTAACATTGTAGGCCATTTTCAGAGGGCCCACTCCTCTGATTAATAAAACATGGTTTGTGTTTCTGTTTCTTTTCGTTTCTTCTTTTCTCCCTGGCTGACTTTCTGTTTAGGCAGATGTGATATTTTCCTGGAGTGTTCCAATGATTTTATTGTCATTTCTTTGTGCTTTAAAGAAGTGTTAATAAGAATATGGGGCTGCTAGCTTTATGCAGAATTAGAATGAAAATGAGAGATACTTGTAGTTCTTGCCACTAAAGCATTGTTTTAAAATTTGAGGCTACACATAAACTTGGGGAGAGAACCGTAAGTAGATAATGCTTTGTAGTCAGTTTAAAATACTCTTTGAACCATTCTTAAAGATCAGGATTAGACCCTTTAGCTTATTAAGAAAAACTAAAAGGCCCTCCCCCCCCCACACCATTTGTCAGCAGCAAAATCTATTGTCTTTGTCCAAGGTATATGGTTTTTTGTTCACCCCTTCTAGAAGGTATGCATGTTCAACTGTCCATTTGAAGGCAATTAAAGGGATAGAATTAATTTGAAACTTTCTATAAAATTACCTTAGGTTTGAGGTGAGTGTGTTTATTGTTTTACCTTTTTGTTAAAATAAAAATTAACCATCATTTTATACATATGAGAGATTCTTCATTTATTTTAGAAAAATTGTTACCCCAAAATTCTACCACAGCAACAACATATCTCACTGTCCTAAACTATTAAGAGCAAAAGGAGAAGCGCCCTGGGTGTCTTTCCAGATCTCTGTTAGACCGTTCAATTTTCATCCATATTTAACAAATGTCATTATTCAGTTTCATGGGGTCACTGTGTCAAAATGTCTGTGTTAGAACTTTAATTTACTTTCAGAGGTTGCTCTAAGTGTGCGGAAAGCATGGCATGTTAGATTGATTTCCTCTCTTTAATTCATCCTCTGGATTTGTTTGCAACTCAAATCTTGTTTTGGGATGTATACTTAAAAATTAGAATCTATCAACCCTGCAATCAAATTCTGAGCTCCAAAATGCTTCTTCCTTCTCTTCTGCTCCCGTGCACCTGCCTGGCTTATATATATATATATATGTATATATAAATGTGGATCCTTCCATTCTCAATCCAGGTCGTAGTAGCTGCTCAGCCTGTGCAGTTTCCCTCACCAGATGGTCCTCTTAATAAATGCCTCGCTCTTGCCCACCTTCACTTCCTTGATCCAAATGTGAAATGCCAGCAAATAAATAAGAGTATTGTGCTCTGATGAGTTCTCTTGAGATGAAGGAAAGCCCAGGGGAGTGGAAGCTAGAAACAGCCTTTCTGTTTGCTGTGACGGCCAGCCCCTAATTACTGGCCAGTAGGTAGAAGACACCATTTAGAGAATATAGAATGTAAAGCAAAGAACAAAGAGAGACAACATATATTCCATATTATTTCTAATGTCTTTGCTAACATAAAAATACTGTTGGATTTCCAGAGCCCATTTAAAATAGTGTGCGTGATCTTTGTGATGGGACTGCTGACTTTGGATTCTGGGTGGGCAATTGCTGTGTGTAGATTTCACCACCAGACGAAAAGTGCAACGGAAATGAGTAGGTAATGAGAGCAGAGCAGCCAGTTCTTTAATTGAATTAAAAGCTGGGTGACATCAATGCAGACACCTGCCCAATTACAGACAGGCCAAGGTGTTTACCATTGCTGTACAAGCGATTCGAAGATGACAGAAATCTTTCCGCCCACAGATTAACATAATGAAGGAGAACAGATTACGGTGGAAGTCGGCCAAACACCTAGGCTGGCAGCTGGGTGGGGGGTGGGGGTGGGGGCAAGGGAGGAGCCTGCTGAAGTATGTAAATAGGAGCGGTATCCTTTATTGCTTCTCAAAAAATGCATTTAGTTTTAAAAGGAATGCCTTTTTTGTCTCAGGCTACTACATCCCAGGCAGAACATTTATACTTGTCTGAATTTAGTCAGAGGAGTTAATCATAAAATTACCACGTCAAAAGAAGCTCATTCTCTGTTGTTTTACAGCTTCTCAGCATACTGAGTCCTATTAGAGACACAAAAGCATGCACAGCTGGTGTTAACTCCACAATGATTGTCTCTTAGGTGGTCTGGCTGCCTCCAATTATGAATATTTCTTTTCAGCTCCTTTGAAACTTTAGGTTAGAGCAAAGGAAAAAAAGTACTGGAGATAATAATCTATCAGAAACAAAGTCTTGTTTCTGTGGTTGATTCCTGGAAGGGGTGGGGTAGGAGTGGGGTTCTCTTACAAGTGAGGGAGATCCTAAGTGAAGCAAAGAGGATGAAAAGTCCCCATGCATAGCCAATCATTATGTGACCAGCTTTTGGTAGACCATTATTCTGGTTGCTGGAAAATTGGGAAAATAAAGACGATAGGCCCCAGAATCACTGTGAGAGACTTAAATTGCAAGCTTTTCTAGGATAAGGATCTAACTTTCTGCAAGGTAGAAATCAATGCCTAGAGACTGTATGTCATGTGCAGTAAGGCTCCTAAACATTTTACCAAGATGTACTTTCTTCCCTTAAAGTCTTTCAATCTGGGCTTTCTACATAGCCACTGAGGCCCACAGGGCTGTACTTCAAAAGGGATATACATACTTTACTTTCAACTCCCTTGGTGTGGCATGTCAGAATTTCTCAATGTTAAGCATTAATGCAAAATGCATTATCGCTTAGCAGTGAGAGTTCTGGTCCTGCTGATGCCAATGATTTCAGTACAGATACCAACACTCTTGTGTTTCGTGGGCTGCTAACACTTTTAAGACATCAATAATGCCTACTTTATGCTTATTGAATGTTTTCTCAGCTCACCTCTTCCATTATCAAAAGGGACCAACAGGCTTCCTAACATGGTGACCATTTTCTGATTTCACAGAGTTGTGGGGTAGACAAGGAGGTCATCTGGTCTGCCTGTGGTAGGGACACTCAAAAATAAATCAAAGGAGAAAAGGCTTCTCCTTGAAGTCTCTCAAAGAAGGAGATGCATAGCCACTGCAGCCTTTCAAACTTCTTACTGTCAGATGCACTTACTTTATTATAAAAAACCCAAGTGTCTGACAGGGGAGAAGCACAATTGTTCAGCACTCAAATACTAGTCCAAAAGTTGGTGGCTCATATTCATCCAGAAGCACCTTGAGATACAGGCCTTCTGAAAACCCTATGCAATGTTCTGTTCTGCACACATGGGTTTCCATGAGCTGAAGTTGATTAGATGTCAACTAACAACAACGGAAGTCCCATTTTCTCTTACTAGTGTTTTTTTTTTTTTTAAATAGAGACAGAATCCATACCACATTTTCATCCTGAGCTTCCTTAATCAATCTATAATGCTCTATATTCACCAGTATTTTTTATTTTATACTAAAATATATTTTCAAATACTAGCATTTTTCTTTGTCTTTAATTAAATGTTAAGTATTTAATTAAATATCAGTATTGCATGCCATCTTGTCCAGTCTGACTCATAGTGACCCTATATGACAGAGCAGAGCTACTACATAGTAATCATAGCGGTGGTAGTTCTGTAGGATAAGTACTGGACTGGGAACCACTAAGTTGGCGGTTTGAACACATCAGGCATCCTGCTGGAGAATGATGAGGCTTTCTACCCCTGCACAGATGTACAGCCTCAGAAACCCTATATTGGTTTGCTGTGAGTCAGAACTCACTGAATGGTACTAAGCAACAACAGGGAGCAGATGATGAGATCTTTTCTCATGAAGAGTCACTGGTAGGTGAAAAGCTTTTACGTAACAATTGAGCACATAATGGTTGTGCCATCTAAACAACATCAACAAAAATCCCACTGCTGACTAGTCAATTCTGACTCATAGTGACTCAGAACCCTTTAATTAACTATATACCTGGTGGTTCAAATCCACCAGCCATTCCAAGGGAGAGGTAAGACTTTCTGTTCATGCAAAGATTTACAGCCTTGGAAACCCTATACAGGGTTGACATGCATAGGAATGGACCTCATTGCCCTAGGTTTGATTTTTGTTTATTGTCATATACTAAAGATTTTAGATTGTATAAATGCCCGTGTCCACTTGGCGAGTATGTAGTCTTTCTGTTTTATGTATTGTTGTTGTTAAGTACCGTGGAGTCAGTTCTGACTTATAGCGACCCTGTATAGGGTTTCCGAGGCTGTAAATCTTTATGGGAGCAGAAAGCCTCATCTTTCTTCTGCGGAACGGCTGGTAGTTTCGAACTGCCAACCTTGAGGTTAGCAGCCCGATTCGTAACCACTATGCTACCAGAGCTCCTTGTTTTATGTATAACTGTATTTTTGTTCTCATTAGGGTTCTGCTAACTCTAATACTTTCTTAGATTAAAGGTATTGTGCAGACCAGCCTTATTCTATAGCACCTTCTCCAGAGGCATGTAGAAGAAAAAATGATAAAATAATTCTCAAGGTGGTCCATCTTCAGGAGTAAGGAAACAAAGGGTCCAAGAAGTTGCTAACTTACCGAGGCACAGATTGTTGTCTAATACAGCAATAGGTATGTGTTGTTGTTGTTGTTAAGTGCCTTCGAGTCGGAGCCGACCCATAGCGACCCTGTATAGGGTTTCCGAGGGTGTAAATCCTTACGGGAGTAGAAAGCCTCATCTTTCTCCCGCGGAGCGGCTGGTAGTTTCGAACCACTGACCTTAAGGTTCGCAGCCCGGTGTAAACAGGATAAATTAGGGGAGGAAGGAGGGGAACTTGTTTGAGGAGGTGAAACTTTAAAATAAGAATGCAACTATCAAAAGGAGATATAGGTGGTATTTGGGGAGACTGTTCACCCATAGTACTCAGTCAGTGAGGAACTAGGGGAGGGACTTGTGAGCTAGGAAATTAAGAACACTTGTAAAACGGGTGCACAGTGTGTCTCCTGGGTTTGGCACCCTATTTTGAGAAAATCAAATAATAAAGCATCACTCTCACTAAAATGAGTACAGATTTAATTTCTTGAGCACTTGTTGGTAAATACTCATGATAACTCATTGGTGACCTCATACAGGATAAGGCAGTCTGCCCCAGTTCTCCCTCCAGAGACCTATCAGGATTTATACCGGCCCGCCAGTTACCAAGAGGAACCAAGGCATTATACTGGGTATCAACAGCGTTTCTTACATGGTGACATAGAATCATAGTACTATTATCACCATCCCACTCCTGCCTGTGGAATGTAAGTGTGAGTGACACTTAGGGCATTCACTGGGTCATTCTTCCTTGTTCTAAGCATCAACTTTAATCCATCCTGCAAAATTCTGTATACTGGAAGTCAAAGGAAATAAATCACATGCTCTAAGAGAAAATAACATGATTGTAACACTTTTCCAATTTAATGAAGTCCTTTTGGTTGTACATTCCCTTCCGCTACCCTTTTATCATTACCTGACCAAAGAATAGAACATGTTGAAATGTTGCGCTGTGCTTCTTGCTGAAGTAGATAATACCTTGAGTGGCCAGTGTTTAGAGAATATTATTCAGATAGTTTGACAATCTTTGTCTCTGAAACACAACATTTTGATTGAGGTCTCTCAGGGAAATAGAAAAGGGTAGCCATCCCAGTCTTAAAAGATATAGCATTTTGTGTGTGTGTGAAGATTTACAGACTATCCAGAACTTTCCACCTGGATTCAAAGCTGGCAAGAACCAAAACATCCATGTTTTCCCCCTTTTTCCCCCCTGCTCTCTCTCTTGCAGTTCTCATTTCTCAGTATTTATTGTTTCACCTGCCTTAAAATGGGAAGTGTGAACATTTTGATAAATGACCTGAAAGTTGATCTAGTTTCTGCCCAGCATCTTTCTTTAAGAATCTCAGTATTTTTCTATGAAATACAATTTGGCAAACTTATTTACCACTGCACAAAGCTGAAGAAAGCGAGTTTACTAAAAAGAACATTACCTTTTAAAAAATGTATTTATTTAATAAATGATTTTTGAGAATTAAAGGGTGAAAACAGCAAAGCAATTTCAAGGTATTCATAAATTAACTCCTTTGGTGAAGACATGACAGTTTAAATAAAACACTAAGACTCATTTAGTCAATGTAAACTTACTTCTTAAAGTGATCCTTCTTAAAGTGTACATATTAATACCTTTCCTGAGAAGTTAATGTTACAATTGTAGTCCCAACTTAATTTGTTATGATTTGCTAAGAAATTATGTCTCAGGATAAAGTACTTTGTTTGGCCAGCTTGCAAATTTGCAAAAGAACTGTATTTATTTTGTTTCTTAATGATATCATATGGGGGTATGTGGTATTTTCTTAATTTCATTTTATTCTTAATTTCAGAGTATCAAACTCGAAACAAACTCTGCCTTTTTTCTTTTTTTTTAAATTGTGAACTGAGTGATAGTTTACATGGGAGAACATTGGCTTTACACCATCATTTCATTGCAGTGATTACAATCTCCTCCGTGCATCATAATTCAACAGTATATGCGTCCATTCCCTCATTTTTCTCTCTTTTTGTGTTGGGGTGGGGAAGGGGAGATATACACAAAATTACTTAGGAATATAGAATAATTTAAACAACCAAAGGCCACATTCTGCAAGCCTGCCTTCTGGCCACCAGCATCTAGTCCCTCTCTTTCCATAATCCAGAGTCTTTAGCTGCTCCCTCTCTCAATCTCCTCATTTCTGCCTCTATCTCTGGTGTCACTGCTTCTCTGGATAGGGTTCTGCATTCCGCTCCTGCTTTTCTCCTTTGATGGTCCTAGGGTCCTCTGTTTCTGATTAATTACTCCCCCCCTTTTTTGTTACAAAACTTATACCTTTACATTTTTGACAGTTGCAATTAGTCATGCTAACAATTACTCACTATTGAATCATAAGAATCTTATCCCCATCTCTTTTCACCAGACTCGTCCAGACAAGATGAAAACTATTCATGGGGACTCTATCTTCCCCCACACACTCTTAAACTAAACTCCCTCTTGATAACTTGTAAGCCAGTCACTTCGTGCCTTTATCACCCCCTCATTTTAGGTAGCCAATGTCTAAGTTGCCTGTCCCTAGCTACCCTGTATACAAAGGGGATAGCATTGATACTTGATGTGAAGACTCCTTTCCTCTCTCTTGGCATTTTGAGTTACTATCTCCATGAACAGAGGTCAAGTTAATCAAATTACAGCAATTTATCTTCCCTTATTCCCTTTATCAAAAATTGTTTTTTTGATCTTCCTCTAGTCAAATTCTGATCATCAGGCCATTGAGGCTAGGTCAAATGAGTACTATCTGCAAGTTTGGGTGTTCACTCTGTGTCTTTTTGGAAATAATATTCCTATGCCACAGATAAATCATAACCATAAACAAGAGGCAATGATTTCATATATGCTTTATGTTGTTGTTGTTGTTAAGTGCCGTCGAGTCGGTTCCGACCCATAGCGACCCTGTACAGGGTTTCCGAGGGTGTAAATCTTTACGGGAGTAGAAAGCCTCATCTTTCTCCCGCGGAGCGGCTGGTAGTTTCGAACTGCTGACCTTAAGGTTCGCAGCCCGATTCGTAACCACTACGCTACCAGAGCTTTATAGATTGAGTTATTGAACAAAGAAAACTCAGTTTACATCCCAACATGATTTTCTTGCTTGCTGTAAAATTTAAAGTTTTGTTCTTTGAGGTTGGATACATTTGTTGTTTGTATAGCATTATACTTCTCATTCAGACATGTCTCTTACAATAGATTCCAGCATGGCAATAGGAATTTCCACAGATTTTCTAAGGCTATTATGACTAAAACATATTTCATTATGACACTTGTTTTGAGCCTACAATGGTGGGATTGTGGTGGTGGCATGAAGAGAAATGTGAAGAGAGAACTTAGTGGCTGCTTTAGAATGCTGAGTCTGCCTTGGAGCATGGTTGCTGTGAAATGCCAGTGGGACATCCAGGTGGGGATAGAAAAACAGAACCTGAGATGTGAGCTTGGTAGATATAAATGTGATAATTGAGAAATGAAACTTATTGAGCGTAGCAAAGGCAAGTGTTTTGGGAAAAAAAATAGGGCTTCAAAACATTTCAGCTATGACTGAGGGATACAAGGGCAATGTATGTGTCGCGTAGTAACTAAATACATCATATGCAGAGTTGCGAAGTGACCTGCCATGTTTGAGCAGGGTACCACTGCCAGTTTGCTACTTTAGTCAAAATATGACACACTAGAGATTTGGTTGCTATGCAACATGTATGCTGCTCTTGTTTCCATGGACATGACTAAACTGTTTCCAACCAGTTCAAAGCCTTGATAAGAAGAAAGAAACTTGAGAACACAAGTTGTGAAGTAAAACTATTTAAGGGATTTCGAGAGGAAGATGACTAGGCTAAAGAAAGAAAGGAGTTACCAGCAGTTAAGGAGAGGAACTCAGAAAAATTCAGCAGCAGAGAAGGAAGCTAAGGCATGTCAAAGTCCAACAAATACAGGAAGAGAAAGAGTAAGGAAGGGTTACTGGATTTGGTATTTAAGGGTTCACAGTGATCTTTAAGAAATAATAAATATATATATATATATATATTTTTTTTTTTATACCGAGACAGAAACCAGGTTGTAGTAATAAGATAGCAAGAACAGCACTGTGCTCAAGCTCTTTACTTATATAGCTCCCTGAACTTATTTATATTGATAATAACCCCTTGAGGTAAGTGCTATGTTATCCTTCAGTGGTTTATTAGGGATGGGGGCTCTGAAACCTCTCCTTAAAATATTGTTCACTGTTTTTGAGTAAGCTGTGACTCAGGGTGATTTTATTTCTGACTGAACAAAACATTGCCTTCTTCATGATCATTGGTATGTGTGAATCCAGACTATTGGTCCAGTCAGTGTCACTGAGCTTTTCCTGTGATTTTGCTGACCCTCTACTTTACCAAACATGATTTTCTTTTCTAGAGAGTGGTCTTTCCTGTCACCTTGTCCAAAGTAAGGAAGCTAAAGTCTTGCCATCCTTGTTTCTAAAAGGAGCGTTCTGGTTGTATTTCTTTTAAGACTGATTTGTTTGTTCATTTGAAAGACCATAGTATATTTAGTATCCTTCCCAAATACAACAAATCAAATGCACCAATTCTCCTTCTGTATTCCTTTTTCATTGAATAGTTTTCTTTTGTGTTTGTTGTTGCTGTTGTTAAGTGCTGTCGAGTTGGTTCCAACACATAGCGACCCTGGACAGTGTTTCTGAGAAGTGGCTGGTGAGCTTGAACCGCCAACCTTGAGGTTCAAACTGATATTGCGGTCCAGCACATTAGCCCATAGTGCCACACTGAATATACCATGGCTTGTGTCAAGAGTATGTTAGTCATCAAAGTGACAATTTTGCTTTTCAGAATTTTAAAGTAGTCTTTTGCAGCAGATTTGCCCATTGCAATAGGTTGTTTGATTTGTTTGATTTCCTGACTGCTGTTTGCATAGACAAACATGTTGATTCAAATAGAATGAAGTTGTTAACAACTTTAAGATTTTTCTGTTTATCAAGATTTTGTTTAATGCTCTACTTCTTAAAGATGATGTTGTTGTTAAGTTGTTAAGCCACTGAGTTGGTTCTGACTCATAGAGACCTTGTATATAGTTTCCAAGGCTTTAAATCTTTGAGAGAGCAGAAAGTCTTATCTCCCTTATGCATAGTAGCTGGTGGGCTCGAACCACAGATTTTGTGGTTTGCAGTCCAGTGGTTAGCATATGGAGCCACCACGCTTCACATGAGGAAATTAATGCATGCAATTCTGAACAACTTTCCTGAGTCCACACGGCCAGTCAGAAGCAGAATTGGCATTTGAGTCCCAGGCAGTCTGGCTCACACATTAGTCTTCTTTGCCACAATCTGCTTCTTAAAAAAACCATTTAAATGATTGAAATTGAACTGAAAAAGTATGAGGATGTAGATGTGGTAATGTAAGGTTTCTTTAATGGCATTTGGTGGTAATGAGCTCAAAATGTGGGTGACGCTCTGGAGGATTCAAGAGGAAATGGCAAGTATAGTGGCAAGAATGAAAGATTATGATAGAAGTGGGTTTTGAAATTAGAGCTCTGAATTTGGCATAAGAAGTTCACACATGTATACAAATTAGTGCACTGGCTGACTCTCTTCTTTGGCCAAGACCTGAGATGGTGGTGCCAAGGGGATGGATATTTTCATGCAGAATCATGATAGAGAGTCCCGGGGGGGGGGGGCTGCTGGTGTGAAGATTTGTTGCCTTAACTAGGGACAGAAGGGACATGGGAGGTGCCATAGTAAACAATGGCTTATGGTCTTTGCTTGTTTCCTTGCTTTTTGCTCTTTTAATCTTTAAAGTTTTCTTTTGTTGCGGGAACCATGTATACTAAGGTTTGTGCTTGAATGATGCAAGTGGTCACCGATGTTGGCATCTTAAAACAACATTCACTAGGCTATGGAAGGCTTAACCAATAAAAGGATGCCCTGGGAGGGGTCACCTTTTTATAAGAATGATGACAATCTGTGTGGTTAGGATTAAAGATAGTTCTGAAAAACTTCCACAGTGATAAGGAAATGTACAAGTTATATTTTTGATGCTTCTTTAATTCACATGATTATCTAAATAAAGAGCTTTTGCCTTGATTATGAAAACCAGTAAACAAAATGTGTTTCCATTTCTACAGGTACATTTAATTACTAAATAAGTCTCATATATCCACCACTGAGCCAGGTTAATTCCACACTTTCATATGTAATGCTTCTGTTCAAGACAGGTGTCTTAATTAAATAAACTAATAATTTTGCAAGTAGAACTACAAAAGCGTAATTATCTAATTTGCTAATTGTTCAACCCTGTGAATTTGCATATTTGTTAACTGCAACACAAACAAATACTTAGTATATGTGAACCCTACAGTTAACATAATGAAGCCACTCTTTGGAGTAGCATTTCCTAATGTGAGTTAATAGATGCCACATAAAAAGGACTCCCTAGTCAAATCAGATTGAAAAAAAATGCTAGATTAGATAAAATTGAATAGCTTTGTTTCTGTTGGAGTTCTAGGATACTGAAATGGACTAACATGTGTCCTATCTAAGAGGAAGCTATACTGCAGTGTATTTCACAAACTGTATGTCTATAGATCTCCATTTGGGTAGTGGGGTATGGAGATCTCGGGGCACCAATGCTCTTAACAATGCATTTGGAAAAAAAATTTTTCTTAACAGTATGTGGGTCTCACAGTTGTTTCTCCCTAGTCACCCCATGTTTCTCTTAGTACTCAGGCAGGAAATGAACTAAAGAGGCATATATTTTCATTTTATATCTCTTGGTCACTACCTCTCTATGTGTCTCTCTCTGTGTCATATGTACACATACATACCATATTCTCTACAGCCACTTACCATAAACATGTAAACCTCTTTTATTTTCTCTTATTATAGGCATATTGACAGGCTTGCTACCCTTCAAAAACTATGCAGTGACCCTAACTGCCTGCACTTTGGCTGGCTGCACTGAGAGCTCACATGCATTGAACATCTCTACTCCACAAGAAGGTAAAGTAATTTCAAAGGTCTTGACTTCCACATTTCAGTCATGAATAATAAAATAGGAGAAGAGCTAAATGCTGCAAGGCCATTTGCTGCAAAACCCCAACCTAATTTGATGACAAAGTGCATTGCCAGGCCATAATTGCTCCATTTTTTGGGGGGGTGCGAAAATGAATCAAACTCCATACCCTTTAATGACATGCATCTTTAATAGCTGTAATGCAGATTAATGGGCTTTTTAATTGCTGTTACATTGTTCATGCAAGAGCCTTGTCATTAATATGAAGCATCTGAAAGATTAATGAAAGCTTCCTCATTTTACTATGGCTCAGAAGTAAATCTAGAGACAGTCTGACTAAAAAGAATTGATTGTATGGCACAGTATGAAATTGAGAATCAAACGGTTGATTTCCATGGTATCTTTTAACTGCTAAACATCAGCACAGGCAACAATTATTTCAGTGTGATGGAACCTCCAAATGCCAATTGAGGCATTTATTAATCGCTGCTCGTTTCCTTCTGACTTACGTCTCACTTTTTGTTGTACTTGAAACTTAACAAACTGTTTGCATAAATTTATGTTTTAGAAAACCTATGTTAGAAAGGCAGTGAGAAAGAGGAAATATTTTAGCACTCCAAAGCAAAAGCTTTGCTCAAGCATCAGCACGCATCATTTCAAGAACTAACAGCTCTCAAGGCATTGGAAGCATTGTTACTTAATGTTTGCCTCTCGTGAAGGAGAGGAATTACGTACTTCTTATGCTGTCTAGTTGTAAAGTTACTGAGGAGATTTAAAAGCTTGATCTTTAGGACAAAAGAGTCAGATTGTTCCACTTTTTCTTTTTCCCAGTATCTATCCATTCTCTTTTCTTTCTCCCTGTTCTTCTCCTGCTCCTTCTTTTAAATCTTTTAACAAGTGTCAAACACACAGACAATACACAGGAGCAAGGAAGGCATGGGCCATGTGATTTCCTAAAAGCCTTCTTGTGAGACTTTCTTCTACACGCTTTGCACCTTACCAAAGCAAACTTTCCTCATCTGAATTCTGCGAACAGTGATCTGCCTCAGCATTTTCTCTCAATATTCTCCGCACCTAAATTACTGACAAAAGCACTCTCTTCCACGTGTTGTAACAACTGTTGGTGTTCATGGTCATCATATCTTTATACAAGTAATTTCATCAGTCTCAAAATTGGTCAAATTGTTCCATGTCTCTCATTATTTTCCAAGCATCCACTACCTCCTGTTAAATGTGGTTCAAACCCACCAACCGCACTGTGAAAACCCTCTACAGAATCACCATGAGTCGGAACTGACTCGATGGCACTTAACAACAACTCTGTCACTTAGGGCTACTATGAGTTGGAATAGACTTGCCGGCAGACAACGAGAAGAGCTTTTCACTGCTATGCCCCAGAGTGATCCCTTTTAGGCTTGTTCACTATTTTCTTTTCATTATTTAAGAAATTCACAAACTTGTAGCTTTTTCAGGAAGTTATTCTTAATTTGGAGTCCTGGTGTGGTGCTGTGGGTTCATACGCCAGACTGCAAAGCTATTTGAACTGCAGGGTCAGCAGTTCAAGCTCACCAGTCACTCCTCAGAAAACCTATACAGGGTCGCTATGGGTCAGAACCAATTCAACAGCATTTAACAACACAACAACAGTCTTAATTTGGAGTCCCTGGGTATTGCAAACAGTAAAGTGCTTGGCTGCCGCCCTAAAGATTGGTGGTTGGAACTCACCCGGAGATACCTCAATAGATAGGCCTGGCAACTTACATCTGAAAGATCACAGCCTTGGAAAATCCTAATGAACAATTCTCCTCTGTACCCATGGGGTTGCTGGGTTTGAATAGTCTTCACAGCAGCTAACAACAAATGTATGATTTTCCAAATGACAAAATGTTTATAAATACGTGTGTTGTTTTGTTTGTTTGTTTTAGTATCCCATTCAACAATTGATACATGTATTTGTTTTGTTTTGTAACATTAGTATTAATCCCTTGAGTGTAATGGCACCCTTACCACTTCCTCCTTGGTTTCCCCATTTCTAGCCATTCTTGTTTCCTGTATCTTTCTGCCTTATGAACTTTGTCTTAGGGCACATGCTGCCCTTTTGGGCTCATGTGGTGGATTTTCTGAGAAGCATGTTCTTCATGGGTATCGTTGTTCACTTTATAGGTCTGTCTACTGTTTGGTGGGAAAGTGACGTCTAGGTGTGTCTTAAGGACCATCATATGATCTCAAGGGTTCTACCAGTTTTACCAAACCAGTCATTCTGATAATTTTTTATGATTTTGAATTTTTTTCTATATTCTTCTTCCAATTTGACTAGGAAGACCTTCTGTTGTATCCTGGTCAGATCAGTGGTCTTTGGTAACTAGGCACAATCTAGTTCCTCTAGTCTAAAACAAGTGGAGGCTGGGGTTCCTGTGGTCCATTAGTCCTTTGAACTAATTGTTTCCTTGAGTCTTTGATTTTTTTTACTTTTTTTTTGCTTCAGATGGGAAGAGACCAATATTTGTATCTTAGATGGCCTATCACAAGCTTTTATGACCCCAATCACTGTTCATCAAAGTAGGACATAGAATGCTGTCTTTATGGACTATGTTATGCAAGTTGATTGAGATGTCTCCTGAGACTATGGTCCTCAGCCCTCAAGCCTAGTGTTTCAACCCTCAAGATGTTTGTTTACGGCTAAGAAGTTTTCACAACCTAACCCCCTGTTTATTCTACATGAAGAGGTTTCAAAAAGTTAGTGGAAAAATAGAATTAAAAGATAATGGAGACCCCCCCCCCCCCAATGAAATGGATTGGCACGGTGGCAGCAACATTGGTTTCAAGCATAACAATGATTATGAGGTTAGCACTGGACCTGACAGTATTTTGTTCTGTTGTGCATAGGATCACTATGAGTTGAAGCCAACTCAGTTGCACCCAACAGCAAACAATGAGAGTAAAACAAATGTATTACTGAGAGAACGTGTCTGTAGTTTTCTGGGACATGTTTAAACACATTTTATTTGGAATAAACCCATGTATGTCTGAAAAAAAAAAATGGAGTTTTTCCATGAACTTTTGAAGTCCCTTCATACATGGATATATCTGCAGCACATACAAATATGCAAGTATGAATGAATATCTTCTGTCCAACAAACCAATATGTGTTCATAGTTGTACTCTCATACACTATCCCACACCTGTTCAGCTTATATATTTACCTATGTATTCATTCATAAATTATTTTTCTTATTAATATTATTGTAAGAGTATTTATGTAATAGTATTTACCACTGTTCCCTGTTATTCTTGTTTATCTCCCAGTGTCTTCCTTTGCCTGAGTCCAGTTGTGTTGGTCACTCGTTTCTTTCTTGTGCATTGCCTTCCCTTTCATCCAAGTTAATGCATATCTGCTATCTATTTGGAGTCCTGGTGTGGCACTGTAGGATATGCACTGGACTGCAAGGTTGGTTTGAATCACAAGGTCAGCAGTCAAACCCACCAGCAACTCCTCGGAAACCCTATATAGGATTGCTGTGAATTGGAATCAACTTGACGGCAGTGAATAACAGCAAATATCTAGTTATTGATTCTTCCCCTCCCATCATTGGTAACTGTCAAACTTTCTTGTCTTTTTGTAAATGGATATACAATATTTCCCCTTTTTATGATTGTTTTCTAGGTTCATCCATGTTATGGGATGTTTTAAGGATTAATCATAATTTTGTAATGTTGTATAGTATTCCATTGGGGTCCAGATGCGTTACTATAAGACACGCACTAGACTGCTAACTGAAAGGTTGATGATTCAAACCCACCAGATGCTCCTCAGAAACTGTATGCAGGGTTGCTGTGATTCACAACTGAACTGATGGCACTTAACAATTTAATAAGGAGCTCTGCTAGCATAGTGGTTATGAATCGGGCTGAGAACCTCAAGGTCGGCAGTTCGAAACTACCAGCTGTTCCACGGGAGAAAGATGAAGCTTTCTGCTGCCGTAAAGATTTGTAGCCTCTGTGCAGGGTCGCTGTGAGTCAGAACCAACTTCACGGCACGTAGCAACAAGAACAACAACAACTTAATAACAACAGTATTCCATTGTGTATATATAGCATATTCTGCTTATCTACTCATCTTTTAGATATCGATTCATATCATGGTTGTTTCTCTAGGATATATACCTAGTAAGTAGTAGGATTGCTGTATCATATTGTCTCTCTAATTCCTAACATTTTATGGAATTCCATATCATTTTACACAGTGCTTGTACCATTTTACAATCCCAAAAGCAGTGTATTATTTTCAATTTTCAAAAGCTTTTAGTTCCTATGACTCCAATTCATTGGCCACTGAAAAAAATGAACAGATTTTATTTTAACTTACATACAATTAGCTTTTATATTGTTGTTGTTATAAAGTGCCATTGAGTCAGTTCAGACACATAGCAACCCTATGTTGGGTTTCTGAGGAGAGGCTAGTGAACTTGAGCTTGAACCTTGCAGTTCAACCCTACCTTGCAGTCCAGTGCATTAATCTGCAGCACCACACTAGGACTCCACCTTTTGTATTGTTGTTGTTAAGTGCTGCTGAGTTGGTTTTGACCCATACCGACCTTGTATGTGGTTTCCGAGGAGTGGCTGGCAAGATTGAACTGCCAACCTTGAAGATCAAACCAACTTTACATTCTAGCACATTAACTCACAGTGCCACACCAGGACTCCTAGCTTTTGTATTTGCAGCTCCTGTTAAGTGCCGTCCAGTAAACTCCGAACCATAGCAACCCTGTAAAGGGTTTCCAAGGAGCAGCTGGTGAACTTAAACTACCAACCCTGTGGTTCAAACCGACTTTGCAGTCTAGTGCATTAACCCACAGTGCCACACCAAGACTTCAGCTTTTATATGTAACTTGTTAAATTGATTTTGTATTTCCTGGCTATTTCTATATTTATATATGGGATTAGAAGATGTATTCCTTCTAATCTTCTAGTCTCATATATAAATCCCACATATAAATACAGAAAGAAGATGAAAGTAATACACAGAGTCACTCTAATAAAAAGAAATGGTCAATGTTCAGCTACTTCAAGAGGTACCGTATGATCAATAGGCAATCATACTGAAGGAAGACGTCCAAGGTGCTATGAACAAGGCTCTAGGAGTTGATGGAATTCAAATGGGAATCTTTCAACAAAGCTGATGAAGCACTGGAGGCACTCACTCATCTATGTCAAGAAATTTAGAAGACAGAGAGATAGTGAATAAAGACCATAGAAGAATTGATGCATTTGAGTTTTATAGTGTTGGAGGAGAATGTGGAGAGTACCATGGACTTCCAAAAGAACAAACAAATTTATGTTGGCAAAAATACATCTAAAATATTCTTTAGAAGCTAGGATGGCCAGGCTTTGTCTCTCACACTTTGGACATATTATTAGGAAGGAGCAGTAGTACCTGGAGAAGGATGTGCTTGATAAAGTGGAAGGTCAGCAAAAAAGAGGAAGACTTCTAATGAGATGGGTTGGCACAGTGGTAACAGCAACAAGCTAGAGCATAGAAATGGTTGTGAGGTTGGCAGAGGACTGGGCTGTGTTTCCTTCTGTTGTGTGTATGGTCTCTGTGAATCAGTATGAACTCGAGGGCACCTAACAACAACAACAACAATATTTGGGATTTGAAAAAATTTATCTATTACTGAGTCTGGCATGGAGCTGTAAAATAAGCACTGCTAACCACAAGATCTGTGGTTCAAACCCACCAGCCACTTCTTGGACATCCTACACAGGGTTGCTATGAGTTGGAACTTGACAACTTGGCAACACTTAACACCATTAACAACAGCAAGTATTATGAACTGTAGGAGCTGTAACTTGACTGCTAAACAAAAGGTTGGTGGTTTAAGCCAACCAACCATTACCTGGGGGAAACATGGGATGGTATACTTCTGTAAAGATTATAGTTTTAGAAACCTTATGTTCAGGTTGAGTTCTGTGTGTCAGAATTAAACATAAGACAATGGGTTTTATGAACCATACTCACCAATGTTTCGCTTCTTGGATTTAAAGCTTCTTGAGGACAGGGACTCTATATGCTTAATTTGCTTTGCTAGGCACAGCTCAACATAGACGTTATAGGTTAATAATACTTTTGATGAAGTAATACAAACATCAATCAACTGAACTATTGTAAGTACTTCCCATCCATCATTGATGCAAATTCTCATAAATTCAGGACAGTTATTTAGCACTGTTCCTAAAGCAATTACTGACAAGCTGCCCACATATCAGGAGCATTTTCATGCTAGGGATTTCAGGTTTATTCTATGATTTATTGGTTTGGGTCTGAAAAGTTTGAATTAGAAAAGTAAACTAGAATTAGATTCTATAAATATTCCTCCCAACCCCCACAGCTCCACAAGAGGTTCACCCACCAGGAGCCAGATCTCTTCCCAAATCTTTGTTAGTCTTCGGGAAACCACCCAAACAAGTAAATGCCATTATAACTCAGTACTCTTTATACATGGATGGAATGCTGATCTGTTCAGGCAATGGGAGAACTACACAGTCACAGGTAAGATTTCTACATTTAATATCTGAAAATTTGATTTCTGAAATTGGGTAATTTATTTTCATCTCCTGTTAAATCACTTCAGTTCAGTTCCATGATCTTTATGGTCACATCAGATTTATGGTGCAGTCCAAAGCTTGAAAAAATAGTGCAGGGATCATGGTATCTTCCTGCTCCCTCCATCGAGGCTGTCTCACTGTATTTTCTCTACTGTAGATTCCACCACTTCTTACCCAAATGTTTCCATTAATAATTTCTTACCCAGGTCTAGAGTTGACCTTAGAAATATATGAAGCAGAGAGAGCTGTTGTGTAGAGCCGTTGAGTCAATTCCCACTTCTAGCGACCCTGTATACGGTTTCCAAGGAGCAACCAGTGAGTTTGAACCTTCTACTTTGTGGTTCAAACTGACCTTGCATTCCTGCACTTATCCTACAGACCCACATCAGGACTCTGAGTATATAATGCAAACTCTAAATGACCGCAGGCTTGAAACGGGGGGTCAGTAAAGGGTTCAGCCATTATCACAGATCCTGGTTGACTCAAAGAAGTCATCGCAAATGTCCCATGCCTATGGAAGAATCCTGGTGTGGTGCTGTAGGATCAGCAGTGGACTATGAACCAACAGGTTGGCAGTTCAAACCCACCAGCTGCTCTTTGGAAACTGTATACACAGGGTCTCTATGAGTCAGAACCGACTCAACAACACTTAACAACAACAAAATGCATAAGGAGGCTTGGTGGCACAGTGATAAAAGTGTTCAACTGCTAACTGAAAGTTCCGTAGTTCAAACCCAGCAGTTGCTCTGCTCCCATAAAGATTTTAAACCTTGGAACTCTAATGGGGACAGTTCTCTCTCCTGTAGAGTCACTGAATCAGAATGGACTCAGCTTCAGTGAGTTTTTGGAATTGACTCAGTGGCAATGAATTTTGCATGGACTTAGCCTCAACCATGTGGACTAATCTTAGTACTCAAAAGTGTGACTCCATATAATCTGAATATTTGACTCTTTGGTAAAGTATGTATTATGTAAATCCAGATCATATTATAAAGTGTAACTAAACCAAAACCAAATCCACTGCTATACAGTCAATTCTGACTCATAGCCACCCTAAAAGGGAAGAACATGTCATCTTTCTTCCATGGAGTCGCAGGTGGATTTGAACTACTGGCATTGTGGTTAGCAGCCCAGGGTTTATCCTTTGATGCCACTAGGACTATACACTGAAATAGGAAGCTCTGATAGTGTTGTTGGCTAAGCATTAGGCTACTAACCAAAAGGCTGATGGTTCAAATCCACTAGTTGCTCTGCTGGAGAAGGATGAGGCAGTCAGCTCTCATACAGATGTACAGCTCTGGAAACCCTATAGAGCCCTTCAGCTCCACCCTGTAGGGTTGCTATGAGTGCACTTGACTAGGACAGTGGTTTTTTTTTTGGTTTTTTTTAGACATTAAAATAAAACCACATAAATTGTTGAAAAACAAATAGAGAGGTGTACATTATGTATGTTAACTGGTGTCTGCATAATGTTCTCATTTGTAAAGTACTTGGAGTGTTTATGTATTTTATGTTACTTTCATATACTATAATTGACTATTAGGTTAGGTAGTATTAATCAAAATTGATTGATGAAAGAATGGAGGCAAAGAGATAATAACTTCCTTATGAAAGGTCACAACAAGCTAGAGTCAGAGATAGGATTAATTATTTATACATTCACTAATTCACATTAATGCCAGGTATAAGGTTATAACATGGAACCGGCCAGACTCTGTCCCTCCTCTTTCTTGGTGCTCACAGCTTCATGAGGACACATACAGATGTAGTTTTAAGATTTTTGAGTATAGTTATATAGTCTTCATCCAATCTCATTTTCAGGGCTTATATTTTTTGTCTCTTTTCTAGTCTGAGAATCTTAAAAGGACAAATCTACTAATTTGATATTTACTCACCAAGGTTGCAAAGAATTCTGTAATGTATATTCAGTGAAACAGATATTATTGTTACCCCCATTTTATAAATGAGGAAAAGGAGTGATAGGAATAACTCTTATTTTCAGAACTTATTTATAGAAGATTAGAGCCATATGTAAGACATCTAACACTTATTGTTGCAGTTACTCTTGTGTGCCATCAAGCTGGTATAAACACATAGCAACCCTGTATAGACTTTCCAAGATAGGCTGGTGGGTTTGAACTTCTGATATATGGTTACAAGTCTAATGCTTATTCTACAGGGCTGCGTGAGCAGGCAACACATTATTAGCATTTAATACACAGAAACTATAATTATTATTTCCAGTGAAATGCAGAATTCACATTATAAATTAAACAGTATATTGATCTCTCCCTTAGAGCAAATCCCCTTCCAAGACTGAGACTCGGGGGGGAATACACAAGCAGGTAGGTGGTCTGGCTGGTGACCATGTGGGTCACCAATGAGGGGAAGAGGGGGAAAAACAGCAGTGAGCATGGAAGCTAAACCCGACCCCATTCAATAGACTCCTGTGAACCCAGGTGGAGACCTGGATGGCCAGCAGAATGGCAAGACCTGGGGACTACTGGGCCCAGAGGCAGTGACATGGCCACAGACATCTAGAGCACAGAATGATGTGTCCAGCTGATATGAAGTGAGGGGAGAGGCACAAAAACACTCATACTTCATGATAATACCCACTTGACCTGGCTTCTATGGCTTGGATGATCAGCACTATACTAGAAGAAGATAGAAGAGGAAAAAAAGAAAAGAGTCACCTGCTACAATTTGATGAACTTTACCTATACTTATGGAGGTGGTGGTGTTAAGTGCCGTCGAGTCAATTCCGACCGAGAGCAACCCTGTATAAGGTTTCTGAGGAGTAGCTGGTGAGCTTGAACCGTCGAAATTGCAGTTCAAATGGCTTTGCTGTCTGGTGCATTAACCCACAGCGCCACACCAGGACTTCATACTTATGGATGTAGTAGCTCAAAACAGGGAACAAATCTTTACAGTGAGGATCACTCCCACCCCATCGGTACACAGGGCTGACAGGAGCATTATTTTAAACTTTTATAGATCACAGAAGTATTATTTCAGAAAAAAAATGAAAATGCTCCATGGAATAAACTTCACACAATTATCAATACTTAATACATGAAAGAAGGAGCTCTGGTAGCATAGTCGTTACGAATTGGGCCATGAACCACAAGGTCAGCAGTTCGAAACTACCAGCTGTTCTGCAGGAGAAAGATGAGGCTTTCTGCTCCTGTAAAGATGTACAGCCTTGGAAACCCCACACAGGGTTGCTATGGATAGGAACTGACTCCGCGGCACATAACCACCACCACCAATACATGAAGGAGTTCTGAAGGACCAAAATACATTATAGCACATAATGGGAAATCACAACTTTTAGGTTCAGCATGGATCCTGGGTGCTGCAAAGGCTTAAAACGCTTAACTGCTAATTAAAGGTTGGAGGTCCGAGTTACCCCGAGGCACTTGGAAGAAAGGTCTGGTGATCTACTTCTGAAAACTGAACCATTGAAAATCCTATGTAGCAGTTTGACACACATGCGATCACCATGAGTAGGAATTAATTTGACAGCAAAGTATCTTTAAGGTCCAACACAGACATTTCCTTTAAGCAGACTTCTCTTGACTCTGTAAGGATGAATTCTATCCTCCTACCTCCTGAGTTCTCACAGAATACCTACTTGCCCTCCTCCCAACTTTTTAGTGTTTTCCGTTGTACTGAAGAAAGCTGCTTACTGACCAATTTGCCCTACTTAAGTCATGAGCTTCTAAGGACATGATCATTTTGCTTGTTCATGATCACAAGATGGGTACAGAATATACAGTGTTGAATATTTGAATGAGTAAAGTCAAGCGTCTGCTGTGAACAACAAAAGAAGATATTTAAGGGGAACTGATGGAGAGGAGGATCATGAGGAAAGAAAATACAATAAAGAAAAGAGAATAAAAAAAGATAGCAATCAGAAAACAGAAACTAAATTCCCTTCAAGGTGTATAAATGAATGGTTACATAGTCCTCAGCGAAGTGGGACTTCTGATGGTAGGTCTGAACTGTGTGCCTTGAATAATCCAAAATATGCAGAATGCTATATGAGGTGACACTGCACAGAAACAGAACAAGTGCCATGTGGGGAGGACAAAAGGGGAGAAGTCACATCAATTTCTAATACTTCCTACAAAAAATTACTAAATTCTGTGTTTTGTTTGATTGAATTGCCAGCAGTGTCATGTGACTATATTATGTGAAATGATTGTGGAAAATGTTATCGTAATGGATCAGTACTCAAGATGCCTAGGTATACTATATCATAAAGAAAGTGCAATATTTAAGTGGTGTCTACAACCTTCTACTCTAACTATAGTGGTGGTTGTTGTTGTGATGTGCCGTGGAGTCAGTTCCAACTCATAGCAACCCTGTACAGGGTTTCCGAGGCTGTAAATCTTTACAGAAGTAGAAAGCCTCCTCTTTCTCCCACAAAACAGCTGGTAGTTTTGAACTGCCAACCCTGAGGATAGCAGCCCGATTTGTAACCACTACGCTACCAGAGCTCCTTAACTATAGTGGTAGTAGGTTCTTAAAAGATTTTCAGTCGTGATGTAGATGTTTAAGCAATATATCTAATATCCCCCATAAGCTGTTTCCTATTTGGCTTTCTTGGCTTCTCATAAGCAACTATATCCTGCTGCCCTCATTCCCCAATGGTTCAAGACATAACATGTGTTGGGATTGCAATATTGGTCAGTATGAAGAGGAGCTAAACTGGGAAAGTTAAGGTGGAGTTCAGAGCACAGTATCAATCCTTGCTGACAAATTGGATTACACAAAGGAAATCAGGGAGGTATCTAATCAAAAGGATTGCAGAAGCATGGCTGACTTTAGGGAGGAAGGCTGTTCTTCAAATATTGTTTGGACAATGTTTGGTTTACAAATTGAGCAAAGCTGCAAAAATAGATTGAAAAAAAAAATAGATTGAAAGTCTTTAACACT